TTACTAAAAGGCATTATATGAAAACCTTGATTGACCAAAACCATAATAGGTGGTGGAAATCAATATATATGGACCAATCTGCTATTCACATTGGAATATGAAAAATTGGAATTTAGAAAAACAATATGCAACAAAGAGCTCAAGTTAATGAATGAAATGGAAAAAATGTAAGTTGTATGTGAGACTAAGAATGTAATACCTCTGAATAATCTGTTCTTGTAGAGTGGAATTGATAGATTCATAAATTCTATAAATTCATGGGATTCATAAAAGAAATTAAAGATGTACAGCAGTTTTAATGGTTTCATTTATGAAGGAAAAGTCTAAAATATGTGCCTGTATTTATGGATTGATATCATCTGTGGGTGAGTATGAATCCATAGGTGACATGCTATATTCCAATAGATGGTGATAAACAGTTGAATAAGATTGGTCTGCAAAGGTATAAAGAGGTATAGTGATTGGGGTTGGTGTAAATGATTTTAGCTATGTTTTCTTATCCTATGCCTTTAACTTTTTTTTGTAATTTTTACTCCTTCTCTTTGTGCTACATAAAGCTCCTTACTCTAAAAGATAGTAGCATTATAGGAATCTACATACAGTGAAAATTAGATTTTTATGGACTAATTGAGTGTATTTGTTGAAGCTAAACCTCTGGTAATGAATTTGCACAATGTACATTTTATGCAAATTGCATACTTTATACATAAATTACCTGTACTTTATGTAATATAAACACAACTTACATAAAATATATGAACATTACTTGGACTGATTCATCAAAGCAATCTGAATCCCATTTTTGTTGGATGCTTCTGAAATGGGTTGCGTAAAACAGATTTTACAGATTATGAATATATGTATAGAGTACTTAAGAAGGGGAATAGATAATATTGTGTAAATACAAATGCATAATATTGTACAGTACAGAATACAGAGTACTGCACATATTATGAATGTGTGTATATCTTCTCTTTTGGGGAAACAAAACAGGTTCCTTTACAATATGTCTATGCCATATACAAATCCTCCGAAGGACACAGATTTTGGCAGCAGTAGTAATGCAAAAGCACGTTTCTTCTTCAGTTCCACAAGACAGCAAAGGCAGGCTTATGTTAAAAAGATCATTTTAGATTTACGGTAAATTTGTTACTCCTGTACAGTTCATAGAAGAGGGCGGGAAAGAAAAGGGTGGGCAGAGAAAAAGAAAGAATTCTGTTGTTTTTAATACTTTCCTATCCACCACA